TACATGTAAAATTTAAGCTGAAAAGATTGATAAGCACATATCCACAAATCCACTATGAATTCTTGAACCCCATCAATGCAGTAATATGTAAAATTGATTCCTAGAATTGCCAATTAATTAGGAATAAGGGAAGCATTTTGTAGGTTTTATAGCAAACTTCATAATGCTGATCTTTTTGTCTTTCTTTTGATAAAGAAATTAATGTTGATTATCAAGATCCCATGATTTAGAAAAAAGAGTTGGTGATTTTTGTTGCACTCTTTGATGGATTGAGAGCATTTTGAAGTAGAGTGCAACACAAGTGTGCAAGCCTCCATCAGGATTTTGGAACTGAGATGAATGATAATCTCAGCCATTTTAGTGGGTTTGAAAGAACTATTACATTCAGAAAGGGCTTCATAATTGTTGTAGAACTTGTACCAGTTTTTGGTAAACATTTGAAAAGTGTGTTGAAGTGCTTTGGTGGGCCTATCAAGCACAATGCAATGGAGGGAAGGTGGTCCATCTCCAAACTCTTTTTGGCATTTTCTAGAAGGCAATAGGGGAGCGTATTGTGACCCTTGTGTGCTTAAAAGAGGGTGATTCCAATAAACAAAAAAGCGGGTAATACATACCCAAAAAATTGTGATGGAAATGTTTAGCTGCCTTATGCTTAATTAGTTACCATTGCCAGCAGTGAATTCTTACAATAAATTGTGGCTTCAGAGTCACATCATTTTAAAATCCCAATTCAGTTTGAAGTGGTTGATGTTAATTGAACTCTATAGGGTGCTTGTAGCGTATTTAGTTTCTGTCTGTAATATTTATTTTTTATGTGGTGGGTGGACTTTTTTGTTTTTCATTTTGCCTATTGCACTGTTGTGAATCATTGGCCATGATTTAATGTTTGTACAAATGGCACTGAGATGCATTCTAAAGACCGACTTTTTTAAAACCTTAAAGAAAATTTATGGAGGGTGGTTAAATGACAGTTATAGGTAGATTTTTTTTTTGCCTGTTACATACATTTTATATTTCTGACAGTATTTAAACCTTTTTGTTTTGAATTCATACTAATTTCTATTAAATTGTCAAATTTTTATAATCAATGTTCATCAAATATTTTGATATTGGCTAATTTTTGTTTGTCAAGAACATGTTAATCAAGAAAATAAATTTAACAGCCATGTGCTAATGGTTTTATTGAATTAAAAATGTTAAGATTCACCAATAAATTCTCTGGCCCACATTGAAAACCCTGATGTGGAAATAACCAACTGAACCTATGAAAAATGTTTGTATTAAATAAATGCAATTCTACAGAAAAACCAAAAGGACAGATTACTAATTGTGTTTCTTTCTGATTCGCATTTCTGGATTGTATGATTCTTCAGTCTAATCAAAAATCAGAATCAACTCTCTCTGGCAGAAAATTGTTAACTAATGAGGGACAGCAGTTGAAAAAAAAAATCCTCTTGGGATACAAACTACCTGTTGGCAAATTTGAAAGAGTTTTGAGTGCAAAGCATTTCTGGAATGATCACAACAACCTGATTTGAACTTAATTCATTGTAAGCTCAAACTGTTCTTAATTCCAAATGATTTTATCGACCCAAATGAAGAGAAAGCTCAGCAATGAGACCTACGTTTCTGTTCATTCCCACTTCTTTCATTTATGAATTTTCTGTAGATTAGTAGATGCGAAGTTTACCTATCTATGCTGCAAAGTCATGTGCCCTGCTGCTTGCTTCTGCGACCCTAAACTGATTTGTTGTCTGACAGCAGAATCTGAATTTTCCCCATTTCAAATTTTGATGTGCTTCTTTCATCATAGCAGAATGTGCTGGAAGAACACAATCTTGTTGCTGTTTGGTAACGCCATGTTTTCATTAGGGACTTATTATAGCAGGGAAAATAATTATTTTCCCCATGTCATTCTTCAGTGTATTCAGTGTATTCACTCTGTTTTAAGCAGGTATTAGCTAAGCAAATGTTTGCTGTTTTTAGAGAAAGGAGTCATATGCTTATCCGATTCTTGAGTATCTTTTCCCACAGACTGAAAAAAGGAAATGAAATTGGTGTGTTTCATATATAATGCTGCACAAGGAAAATACCAACATACATAAGTATTGTTCAAGTTCCATTGGTTCAAAAACAAAAGTGGAAGCAAAGATTAAATATATGCTACATGGCAATTTAATACAGGTCTGATTAGAATGCTGTACATTGTTGTAAATTAAGCTTGCTTACAATTGCCACATATCCATTCTTGCTGATGGTCCTTCTGTTCCAATTTGAGAAGAAGCCATGAAACTTGCAAACTTTTGTTTACATTTTAAAAAAATAAAAATAAAAAATATATACATATAGTCATAAGGCCAGCTCCCAAGAAACTCATGTTCTGCTAACTCTTCAAAAAAGGAACCATAGCAGGGAGGAATAACAAGTTCAAAACTAGAAGATAGAGGTTAATGCCAGTCCAAACTTTAAGTTACATAAAAGGAAACCTGCTTCAGAAGAATCACGATTTCTGCAGGGGATTTATTTTGCTGAAATGTTTTAAGGATGTGGATGAAATGATTCAGAAAAGTAAAGATTCCTGAAGACTAGGTACTCATGAGTCAAATGTTATGATAGAGTAAATGCAATAAAGAATATAAATGGATTATATTTTCACAACAGATAGTGCAAAAATGGGGTTCAATAGGACTAAAGTCATTTTCAGTTTGGATATAAAAGATGTTACGAATAAAGGCAAACATACATGTCCCAGGATAATGTTGCAGGATCCAATCCGAGTTGGTCACTGGGACCAGAGACTTTGTCTTCAAAGCTTTGGGACTCACGCTGGGGCACCTCTTCAGGAAAATTCCTCTAGCAGTGTGTGTGCTTTGGGCTTCTGTGTGTGATAATTGGTGCTTGTTGTATATGGCTTTTTAAGATGTTAATTGGATCAACATCTAAAAGAGCCACATACAACGGGCACCATATAAACACACAAAGATCAGCCCAAAGGATACACTCTGCTAAAGGAAGTTCCCTTCCCTGAAGATGATCACCAGCACGAGTCCAAAAGCTCAAGACAAAACCTCGTCTTGGTAACCAATCCAGGTTGGATTCTGCATAAAAGATGTTATAATTAGGAACTCAACAGTTTAACTGGCACTTTGATGTAGACTGGCTCACATTTAGAGGGAAATGCCCTCTTAATAAGCTGATGAAATATGGATTGATAATACCTAAGCAGAAACTTTTTTTCTGTCCCTTTTGATTTAGCTTGAGAAAACAGCAAATGTATTAGGAAAAGTGCTGTACGAAGTATTCCAACAGAACTTTTTCATAAATCCCTCTCTGAAATAAGAGGCAGGCTCCTTGCCAATCTTGATCAGCAGCTCTAATAGCTGTCTCTGCACATGCCCTTTGCTTCACTAGCAGTCTCAGGGGAAGTGTGGCCTATGCAACCCCCCTATAGACAGCTGAGGCCCAGCCTTTGAAGTATGGCTTCTTCAACATATCAAAAGGTCTTCATTCACACTAGCACCTTAGGAACACCCCAACTGCTTTGCCAAGCCATTATTAAACTAAACCACAGTGTACCTGAATGGCCAGTTTGCAATTTGAGAATGTTCTCTTCAGTTGTAGTACAGCAGCGAGTGTGTGTGGAAAGCCAAGCGAACTTTGCAGATAGCGTAACACCAACCATATCACTGCCCTATGTTATTGCCTCTCCCATCAACAGAATTAAGCTAGAGATCACAGTAGGAGAAGTAGACATCCCCCCTCCAACTCACCTGAGCATCCATGAGACAATGTGGCTTCTCCAGAGAATGCCCCTTTAAAGCATTTTGGAGAGGTGATTTTATCAAGAACAGCAAGTGGCAAGTCCCCAAAAGCCATTCCGCTCCCAACCCCCCTCCTGTCATTGCTCTCCTTTTTTGCAGAAGGTTTTCCAACAATGATGCCGTTTTTTAAAAACAGGCATAAAAAACCCTAATGTTTATATCTAGCATGTCATATGTTGATAGGAGCAAATATTTTCCCAGAAATGAGAAATACTATTAACAAAATTGTGATATGAATGTTATAGCAGAGCATTTGAATACGCAAGAATAGCCTACATCTAGTTTCCTTAGGAGGGTGGTTACCATGAATATTGGCCATTCCTAGCGTATTTTGAGCAAATTAGATGTCCTGTTAAAGGACTGGATAACTGACCTGGTTTGAAATCTTTAATTGAACAGTTTGTGTGCGCATGCAGATCTGTATGCCTAAACAAAGACCTAGGCTTAACCAGAAAAAGCATACATATAATTATATTAACAAAACGAACAAGGCCTTAAAAGGTCAGGCTATAATTTAAAGGATTCACAGGAAGGCATTTTTATGAATTCCCATCCCAGTGTCTTACTGTATTATAAAATATGCTGAGGTGTTCACATAGCACTTAGACTTATATACCACCTCATATTGCTTTACAGCACTTTCTGACCAGTTTACAATGTCAGCTTATTGCTCCCAACAATCTGGGTCCTCGTTTTGCAAACCTTGGAAGGATGATTCACCTCGAAACCCATCAGATTGAACTCCAGGCTGCAGGCCCAGTTAGCCTGTAATACTGCATTCCAACCATTGCACCCACTAGGGCTCTTAACCACTGTGGCATTAATAAATCTACTGCAATCCTAAAAACAGACACTTGTGTATAATCAGGGTTCAAAAGTCCTGCATACAAACTGCGGTTAAGTCAGATTTTCCACCCACCCCTAAAATACCTTTGTTGCAGTTTGGTGCTATGAAAACGTAAACACAAACATTAGTTGTACAGATGTTTTGTCCAACAGAATCAGGACTTTCAACTATTTTTTATGAAAACAGGAATCAAAACACACTGACATAATCATGCTAATTTAAACCTGTATTTTAGGCACTTTTGAACACTGGAACAGGGAAGTATTTTTATAAAAAACAGTTCATAGTTTCAAGGGATTACATGGCATTAAGAAAAGGAAAGTTCATTCTTATTAATAATTTTTTTTTATTCTGAGAAGGAAAGAACATTTTATCACAACAGTTTGAAATAGCATGATTAAAGACTGCAGCACTCCCACGAGTGGTCCAAGATACGTACAGTATATGAAGAAAAAGTTGCACCTCAGAACCGATCATGATCAAGTTTAAAATACCTGACTTGAAGTACATGTGCTATTAGATTTCCTTCAGGTCATGACCAGCATGAAAAAAAAAATATCAGGACACAGGTACTCAGCATAGATTTCTGCTCACAGACACAGCAATATGCTGTGTTTTAAGGGTTAAAATCAGATTGTGGTTTAATGTTGGCACTGAATCCTTAAGATGAGAAAAACAAAACACCAAACTTCTACTTTTCCCTCATTTACACACATCAAAACTATTCACACTTAAGGATGTGCCCAACTGCACACAAATTTAAGTCTTTTCAAAGATTAAAAACTTTAATAGCTAATACTGGAGACAGCTTCTTTGCTTCTCGGTATAAATCCGCCAGCTATTGGTTCCTAAGAAAGAAAGAGTTTGCTAAGGTAACTGTTTGACAGAAAACAAATGACAGTCTCTGGAAATCACTCCCTTTCTACACTGAAAATGCTCAGACAATTCAAGTTTCACATATTCAGGAAGACAGAAGATTTAAGGCTCTGGTGACAAATACAATCCCTCTGAGCAAAGTTTTTCTAGAGTCAAGATTCAACACATAACTGGTTTTTTTTCCTTGACTCCAAAATTCTTGATCTCAGATTTAGATAACATCCAACTGAAGTTAAGTCTGGCAAGATATTCTCTCCTCCGTGGAAAAGAGGTTTCAGTAATCCATGTTAGGGGCACTTGACGATTGCCTACAATTTTGTAATGTTTGTTCTCTTTTATTAAAATTATACCAACATTCAGGAACTACTTTTAGTAAGTTGAAGAGGCTGTGCTCATAGCATCATCAGAAATTTTGGTACTGGCCGGGTGGATGCTTGCAAAATACTTGACATCATTGTCATTATCCATCTGGAGGGCCACAATTGTCTGTTCTACAGCCTCTTGATGGGAATTAACACACATCAGAAAGTATTCTGTATCGAGGGGGAAAAAACAAAGGAAGGGAATCAGCATGCATGAAATAGCAAGTATTGGTCATCAAAATCAGAGGGTTGCAGAAATGAAATGTAAATTAAAATCCACAGGAGCCAAGAGATTGTTTTCTTTTTTCTCATTTAGTGTTCATATCCTCCTTTACCTCAATTCAGATAATAAACAATGTTGGATCTACTCTGCTGCAATCAGTAATTTCATTCTGACTTCTGGGCCAGTTCCTTACTCTAAGCCTAACCTATATTTTGCATTTTAATTAAAAATGATCTATTCTATCTTGTGTGTCCTTTTCACCCTGCAGAATTCAGGATGAATTATTTAGCTTTTTTCCCCCCCTCCACCTCTCAGTGTCCTTCCATATTTACAGGCCCTTTCTCATAGATTATGTTTCTGTCTCTTCCTTATTCTATTACCTCCCTAGTCTTTTTTAAGCTATCAACTTTGCCAATAAAATCTCTTTATTGTGCAGTATTTTCTTTCCAACTCATTTTCTATTCACATTCTTACTCCCATAAATATTTTCCCATTCTTTTCTATATTCAGTCTGTCTTTTATTCCCCCCCCCCGCCCACCCATGGTTACTAATCTTTTCAATAATCATTTATCAGGTGCCTTTTATTTGTCAGACTGTTTAAAAAGGAGAACGTTTTTGAAAGCAAGGTCTGTCTTTCACTGTTAATATATATAGTTTGGAAAGAATAAAAGGTAAAATGTAATCTTATCAAATATATATCCAATCCTGTCCAGTGGAATTTTTCCCCATACATGTGTTCAGGATTGCAGATTTATTCATGAGCACATGCCAAGTATATAAGGTAACCACAATCAGTTTAGTCACTGTAGCAGGAATGGGCAACTACTTTGATATTAGGAGCTTCTCTTTTTATTTTATTTTGTTTTGAAAGCTAAAGTGGCTATGTATAATGGTATGTGAGAATGGCCTTGAGGGAAGATGGGAAGATACGCTGCCTAGAAAAGAGAAAAATGGGAGGAGTCTTCAGCGGCTTAATAGTCAGAGGAAGAAACTTAGGAAGGACCCACCTGATCAGGTGGTTAAAATGAACAGCGAGAGAGTTGCATAGTCAGACTTGTGAAATTCTGTTAATGTAACCTTACAATAAAGTAGAATTAGCTCATCTCGTTTCCTGAGTGGCTTAGATAGGGGGGCTGCCAGCGTGGCACAAAGTACAGATAGTCCTCAATTTACAACCAATCACTTAGCAACCATTCAAAATAACGGCAGACCTTCCCCCGGGCTACTTACAAATCATATTCAAAGTTCTGACGACTGATTATACTTGGGGTGTTTGGTAACTGGCCAGCATTTATAGCCATTGATAGCATTCCAAGATCATGAGACTATGATTTACAATCTTTTCTTTTGCCCAAAACCAATGTTTACTTCTGGTTTCTTACAAAAAAAAAGCCCATTGTGAACAATTTGCTTAATAACATCTGCATTTACTTATGACTGCTGTGTTCACTTAATGACCACTGCAAAAAAGGTAGAAAAATTGGGCACGGTGGTGTGATGACCCACTAAATGACTAGCATGACTTACAACTTTAATTCCAGGCTCCACTATGGTCATAAATTGAGGATTACCTATAACATCGTAAAGAAGAGAGGTAAAACTTTTCAGCCATTTGAGGTGTGTTATGGGGAGACTTTTTTAAAAAAAAATGATTTAAGCCTCTCCAAAAATTATGGGAATTCTCTTGGGGCCTAAGCCTGCATTATAGGAAGAGTTTTTACAGCTGAGACTTCAGACAGCCTTGACCATGAACTAGTTAAAAGCAAAGGAGAAGCAAATTCTGTACTTCCTGAGTACTTTCTACCTACCTATATTAATATCTCCATTTCTCCCTTGTTCAAACCTAAGGTTCTTAGACAATTTTATAACCCCCTAATTTTTGGCTCAAATGCTCTCCACATTCTAATTTAGTTCAAAGATTATAATCCAATTTAAAACAAAGGTTTACTCAGTGGACCTTGTCATTCCCTTCTAGATAATAAGCACATAGGAAACTACTTTCAAAATAACAGGAAAGATAGCAAGGGAATTTGAAAAGTTTAGTACCACTAACCTTTTTCTAGAAGTGTTTGTCTTAAGGTCTTTGCAAGCAGGACTCTAACGTTTGGAACTCTGTCTGAGGCCAAGTGTAGCAAATGGGGCAGTAGATATTCAGCAAAGTGATCCATTGGCAGGCAGTCATCTTCTATAATAGTCTGAAAAAGAACGATACCTAAAAACACCTGCTTCATTCAAGCAATATTTAATGGTGGACAGTGAGGTAAGCAATAAAGGCTTAAAGTAGCATGTAACAAGAATCTATGACAGATTTCGCCTTTTTTTTTTCTTTCTAGTTTTGATGTTCTTCTCCAAGTCGGCCTCCTCCTCATCTTGTCATAAATACAATCAATCAGTCAGTTAAAAAGAATTCTTCTTTTGGATAATGAAATATGTAGCAATTACACGAAATCACACTAAATCTTGGGGGGTTAAACTACATATTTGGAATAGGCCACAAATGCCTGTGATTATATAATTTGCTGAATAAATTATGCTAAACTACGGTAATTAAATTACAAAATTAATTGGATTAATAACTAATTAAATTAGGTTGAGAAAATAATCAACATTTACACTAATCCAGAGCAAGCCACTGGGAATTTTTCCCTTTTACGTAAGGAGCAAAGAAACAAGAACAATAAAACAAAATAATTAAGTACTGAAAATGGAGGAGCCACAGACAATAGTGATTATGAAGAAGTAGAAGAAGAAGAATTCTTACCTGGCAAATAAAGACAAATGCTTGTCGACCAGACCACTTTGGACATCTGCAGAATCTTTCAATCAGTTCATTCATAAGATCAATCACAAATGCTGGTGTTGGAGCATTGTACAGCTTCTTTACCATTTCACTAACCTAGAAAACATGGTCCATTACGTAAATCAATCACTAAAATAGTTGGTGTATTAAACTGTTGTGTTCAAGGACTGCTTTTTAACTTATACCAGCTTGTAGGAAATCCATCGAACAGAAGAAACCTTGTCTGCACAAAGGTTGAGGGCAATAGGTCGCAGATAATCATATATGTCTCTGGGACTATACAGATCAAGAAGTAAAATCAGCTGCCTATAGGAATAGAAAAAACAAAACAAGAGGTCATAATTATTTTCAAAAATCACAATAATAATTTTATTACAATTAATGGAAATTAATGAGTTGACCATATGCTAATTGTCCTAAAATATAACAAATCTTTTAAGATCACTATTATTCAACCCCCCTATGGAGTTTATCATTTATCCTGAGTGCCATTCTTCAGTACTGAAATAAGGTTGTTAACGGGCTATCTCTGAACTCTAATTATTGGGGCAATAATTTTAGAGTGGCGATTGTCAATTTCTAGAGTTGAGATCTCTAGGGAGATAAAACCAGAGAATGATGGTATGATTTCCCAAATACAGTGCATGGGGGAAGCAATATGCCTAAAGGCATATGCTGAGTTTCTATAAGAATCTACTACACCTACTCCTACTCCTGCCATTATTACTATTACTATTATGAACTATACTAATATGCTGTTCCATAGTATCAGAGCTATCACAGAAAAATATTGTTGCTTGGTTTCAATTCTTTATTTTATGGAAATGCAATCTCCCCAATGGTTTCCTGTATGTGAAAACACAGAATGAGTTGGTTCTAGTTGCTAATCCTTAAATTGTCTTGTACCAAGCCATCTGATAGGCACTTTCAATTGCATTTGGAAATTTAGTGGTAAGCAACACAGGTTTACCATGAGTGCAAACTGTCACATTCCCACCTGTTCCCCAAAACATCTAGGTAGGCACAGATCCAATCAAAACATGATGAAGAACTTGTTCAACAGTATTCTGGTCATTTGAAAAGAGTCTACAGACCAGAAGCTTCAGCTAACACTACAGGATTTTATGCCAGTCATTGCTTCAAGCACCTCCCATGAAGAGTTCAGAGTGAGGTGAATCTGAGTAATTCTGTTGACAAAGTTGTGAGCAATAGTGTCAAAATGGGCAGATGATTTATTTGTGCAGGTTTCCCTAAAAGGGAATTCATTAGCTTAAATAAGGCCAATGGCTGGCAGCCTGCCAATGCAATAAGATGTTTCAACAAAAATAAAAAAGCTGGCTTGCTACCAAGCAGGAGATTAGCTTTCAGAATAATTTTCATTTTTCGAGATGCCTTTGGATTCTACATCAGTCTCACAGGCAAGTTGAGAGAAAAAAAAATAGCTATAGCCAAATGTTTTGTTTGTAAATGTTCCCTTCCCCGCCAAAAGAGGAAGTCATAGGAATACATAAAGAAGTACCCTGAGTAGAATAGAAAGGAGTGTTGCAACAACCTTGCTTGCTTGGTGGTGAATTGGTGTCTTATGACCAGCCTTAGAAGCCAGTCTGTGAATGGTATTTCTCATTTTGTTTAGTACTCATAACATTGTCTGAAAATATCAAATGTATTTACTGACTCAACAATTGTTGGATTTATTGCTGATTAACTCACAGAGGACCCATCATTCACAGGACATGTTAACATTAAATGGCTGTTCTTCATATTTTCCATGTTGGCATTCTTTGCCCTCATTGAAAATGATGATATATCATAAAGAACTATGGTCTCTCCCAGCACAGAACTAAGTTCTGATCTGACCTAGTATAACCTTTCTGAAGGAAACCAAAAGACAGCAGGAACCATCTGCTTTATTGACACTGCTGATTATGGAGCATTCTTTAATATCTACAGGTCACCTACTACCTTACTTGCTTGTTCCAGACTTAGCAAGGAATGTTTTCTTGGGTATCTGAGAGAGCAGAAAAATGTTTCTGCTCTTAAAAGTAAGACTTGTGCACATAATACAAAGTATATCACTTTAGTAGTTAATCTCTCTGAATTAAAATTCTATCGAGAATAAATTCTTCTGAACCCATAAGGACCTACACATGAGTAACCATGGATGGGGTCCTAGCTATTAATTTTTCATCTGGCAAGAGAAAAATTAAGGAGCCAGTTTTCTCTTTTCTCAAAATATTAACTATATTCATTTTGAACAGTATAGTTATGGCTATTTTAATAATCAGTTTAAGAAGCATTCTCTGAATTTTGTTCTTTGTAAACTTTCCTAAATATTTTGCTTAGAAATGCAAATATAATAGGATGGGGATAATATCAATAACTGCAACAAACTAAGATTTATTTCCAAATATTATGCAATGAGGCTTTTTAACTCATTTCATTCTTGCCTCAGTCCTTGCAAGGATCTTGATGATGTTTATTGCCAAGATGTTATTCCTAAATATAGACAAAACCCTCCTGGTTGGTCTGCACCGAAAGCAGGGGAGTGTCTAAGCAGCTCATTGGATGTGGTAAGAAGAAACATCCAATCAAAACAAGCCATTTCCAATATGAGCTGCTTGGATTGCATTTCGGTTTAGAATACAGATTATTAAAAGAAAAACAAGACTGATCTTGGTTCAAATGTAACAAGCCAGCAACATGCCCTTACACATGTACTCCTATCTAATTATCGCAAAAACTTACTCAGCAAGCTCTGCTCGAAAACGCCAGTTCCTGCTATTGTCTGTGACCAAGAATTCCTGAAGCTGATAAAGATACTCCCGCCTTTTATCAGGATGAAGAAGCTGGAATTAATAATTATGAAACACTTTAAGAATCACGTAGAAAATAATAATTGCTAAGAGAATCTGAGTAAAATCACTGTATAAAAAGTGAAGTTGTCTTAAAAGGCACTTTTGAGATTGTTGTAAGACAGCAATGTGCAATATAAAATTACATCAGAAATTAAATTACAAATATAATAATTATTTCATAAATAAATTTGACAAGTTACAACACAGAACAATACAGGAAAGAAGGAAAAATACCAATTTATTTTTGAATATATATAGAAAAGAAGAATGTACCTTCAAAAAATCATGTAGGTGCTTAAGCACACCAATCCTAACTTCATCGAGATCTTTTAAGAAGCCATTAAAGACTGGAACCAGATCACCGGCAGTGAGCTGATCTCCAAGAATGACTGCAAGTTCATGTATGGAGAAAGCTAACGTTCTTCGAACTTTCCACTGAAAGGATCCAAGCAATTATCAGTTATACAAAATGACTCCAGTTCATTTAATTGCAAGTACAATATTAAAGCAAAACAAATAAAAATATGTTTGAATTTTATCGGAAGAAAGTTAGAAAAAACAACAGTGGAAAATAGGAGTAACATCTTCAGGAAAAAACAGATTATGCTCATTTGTCTTTCTCCTGATTTCTTTAAAAATTATTTTGACTCTTGCCAGCCCAGGAATATTAAACAAAGTATTTTTATATCAGAAGCTTTCTTTTTTACCAGATTAGATGCCTGATATGTAACTTAGCCTACCTATCCTTCAAAGCAAAATACAGGACTGACTGTAAAATCTCATATATTTATTTTTTTGCCTACAATTTTGCAGTAAAACAATTCTACTCTCTTGCTAATAATGTCTGGCATTTTAGAAATATTAGAGCAGTTTCGTAACTATTACTGAGCAGGAAGTAAAATATTTTTCTAATTCTTGCTTTATTTTTCTTTTATTAGATAACCAGGTTTACTTCTTAAACAGCAATTAAGCAGGAAAAATGATGTTATAGAAATAACATCTCAACAAGCAAACAAATTTCAGTATAACTGTATTGTAGAGTGAAATAAAATTCCATTAGTTATTTGACTATCTAAACAGAGAGATATAATGTACAAATTAACTTTCTCACTTTTCCTAAAACACTTTTCTCGTGAAAAAATCCAAGAAGCACAAGAAATAAACCAACATTTGTTCGTTTTTTTATTATGTCAATGAGACAAATTAATCTTAAGGTAGCATAACAAATTTCTATACCATCCAAGTATAATGTGGATTTTCCATTACCTGCATATCAGAAGCTAGAGTCTCATAGGTGTCTTTCAGACAGTGCCAGTTCTGTCTACCTAGGGTAAGTGCCACTCCTGGAAGGCTATAAGCACAGTGTTTGGCAATCTCAGTATCAACAGTCTGTGCTCGAGAGGGATCAGTCATGGATAAATACTGGTCTAGCAAGGCTTGAGGTACAACATCCTAAAACAGAAAAACAGAATCCCTCTGCAAAATTGGAAGAGGAGAATGCATGACTGTATGGTGCAATACATGTCATACATTTATGGCTGCAAACCCAAATGAAATTATGAGCTGGCCAATCCAACAGGACTAAAGTATCCTGTCCAAGATTGTCTCTTTGGATAAAAGAGCCGGGGGGGGGGGGATTATCTCACCTTTAATGATTTCTCTCCAACCTTCTATTTGAAGTTGCACAATTAATTTTAAACACCCGATTTCTGATTTTATGTTAAAACTGTGAAATTTTAGGAATATTATATTCAATGAGAATGCCATGTCTAATTGTAAAAAACACAGATTAAAAAAAATTATATGTATAAATTGAAACTCATCCAAATTTGTTAATATCTACTTCACACTGATGTCTTGAGATTAAGCCATGGTGGCGCAGTGGTTAGAATGCAGCACTGCAGGCTACTTCTGCTGACTGCCGGCTGACTGCAATTTGGCAGTTCAATTCTCACCAGGCACAAGGTTCATTCAGCACTCCATCTTTCTGAGGTGGGTAAAATGAGGACCCAAACTGTTGGGGGCAATATGCTGACTGTAAACCACTTAGAGAGGGCTGCAAAGCACTGTAAAGCAGTATATAAGCCCTAAGTTCTATTGCTATTGCTATTAAAAATCAGCATCTTAGAAATGAACAAAGATACAGGATTTGAGGCAAAAAGATGAAAAAAGGCTACATGCATGATGTTTAGATATATTTAAAGCATAACAGATTCATGGAAGTGTTATACTGCAGCTGCCAAAGTTAAGGGTATGTATCTTCCTTCTAAATCATGAGATTGTGAAAAAGCCAAGAGGGAAACCAGTCTATCCCAGTTTGAGTTACAAGGGAACAGTAAAGATTAAAACTGGAAAATAAAAACAATAAAAATGATTGTAAGAACAAGATTAGAGCAATGCCTTTAGCTGTTTTGTTATTTAAGTGTAAATAAAACAAGGAGAAACAGAAATGTTTGACCTAATGTTCATTTTTTGTTCTCTCAGGGCTAAACACAGAGCTGGAACGTTCAAATTCCAATACTGTGTCAAAGCTCACTAATAGGAGAATAAAAATTAGAACTGACAAATACCTATAAATATCTGTATATCACTAAAACTCTATATGTAATCTTTAATGAGCCAAAATAGTATCATAGAGCAACAGTTTTTGAATCAAGAATCTTCAAATGGCTAATTTACAGAATTTACATAACCCAGGATTCCTATGGGATTGAAATTGGGTGAATTTATGATTGCTTCCATATTGCCACACTGCTACGCCACCGCCTAGCGGTTCAGTAGTTAGGTCGTACCTTACCCCTCTGGTGGCTATGTAGACTGGTTCCACCACTGGCTGCTGGAGGGCAGTCAGCTACAGTTAAGTCACTACAGAATCAGAAGTTGTTCCTATTCCTACTGCTTTTTTGCCCTTAGACATTCATTTTTCTATTCGGGTAAGAAAATATCTCTAAAATAATGACCTGACAGGTTAAGGGTTTTAGACTAGAGATTAATGATACACAGGTTTAGCTTCTATGAAGGTATCGCTTCTTTATGAACCTGAAAGAAACATTTAAAATATACCTGAATTTTAGATTTTTTTTCTTCTTCAGGGCTGAAACAACTATTAGTGTTCAAGTCTGAGTCATTGTGAATATAACGAAGAGTGGATTCTACAATGTCCTGAATGTGTGGGGAAAAAAATAGTAACATGTTTTAGAAAGACTGTGTGCAGTAACATCCCAGGCATATTTACACAGCACAGAATCACTATCTAGAATTTCACGTGCTACACCAATTTAGAAATTCATAAATTATGTTTTCTTTTCTTTACCTCAACAGCATCATTGATTAAAGGCACTGTGTCATCCCGGATTAATGTACAGTTTAGTTGGTCTTTGATGCATACTTCGCTTTGACAGTTTGATAACTTGCCCATGCTTGCTGTGGGCTCCTCTTGAGGATCTAGACTGGAAGCTCGGAGAGCAGCAGAGAGTACCTCCACTTGGGCTGCGTAGAAAGAAGAAATATTAGGATATATCAAGAAAGGTACACATCAGCAATAATACACAGATTAGTATTCAGCATCACTTCCATTTTTTTTTTGAAGATACATGTAGGGCAAGGCCAAACAGAGATCTCCACTGATAATTTGGGGCAGATTCATTCTTATCTTTGCGCTCAAGGCAGACATTCTCTCCAGAGTTTTCTCTGAGCTCTGTGAAACTAAGTTAATTCAAACACCAAAAAAAAATATTCATAAATGCAACCTAATTTCCAATCAGTATATTTAGTCAATAACCAAGTTTGAAAATTGTTAAGAACCGTTATATAAGTAGGATCCTCAACATTTTTGGAAAATACAAAACAACAAAAAAGACTGAAAGGGAGTCCAGTACAATTTTTAAAATTCTATTAAGCCCTTTTTTCTGGCTTTCTAAAGTCTTTTATGATTAAAAGTTTAACTTCTAAAATTATTATACAGCAATCTTATTACCACATATCTGACAATTTAATGCATGTTATCTATATATATATATGTAATTTCTACTTCAGGTATATGAAAATTATTGGAGAGGCTTCATAATCCTGTTTAACAGTGCAAACCAAAATATCAAACTACAGGCACTAGAGGTTCTCAGAGCCTAATTTAGTTGTACTAGTAGTTGTTAAATTCACTATAGATGAAAGCAGCACAGGGAATAATTTGTTAATTCTGGCTATTTACCTACTGAGAAAAAGGTCACCTAACTCAACTTAGCTTTTGATTTCTTTTGAAAAGAAAGAATTCTAGTTGTTCAATATACAGCTAGAATTTCTCAGGCATTAGGAATTAATTGCTGTTTAAAGGCTAGACTAAGGAAAGAAGGAAACCTTAGACAGAGGTGTTAAAATATAAATGTAATTGTAACCATTATCAAGAAGACCAGAAGCTGTTTTTTAAATAAACTATACTTTTTCCTTTTTTTCTTTTCCCCTTCCTTCTTCTATTTTTCTGTGTACTTTTTTCATTATTTTTTTTTCCTTACTTTTCTTTCAAAATTTGTACACTTTTTATTCTTGTAAACATTTCTTTAATAAAAATTATATGAACAAAAAAGAAACTAACTGTTGTTTTTCCTTTACTTTGTTCAGCAATGGAATAAGTTGTGCAGTCTGAACAGCTAAATATATATTATTTCCCACCAATAAACAATACAAACAGTTACAGAGAACATTGGACGTTTAATGGTTTTCCCAAATATTATTTTATCAATTTTATAAAAGGAACCTTCAGGTAATCAGAAGTATATTATACTCTGCAGAATAAGAGAAATAGAAAGCAGAGGAGGTTTGCTAAAAGTTGCCTTTTTGTGGGAGAAAATGTAAGCATTACTTCCACTTTGCTGATCTCTTATTTAGTCATTGCACATTATTACGGTTATTTGCTCAATACTCTGCAAAAAACTAGCCTTTTAATATAAACTACACTGAAGGAACAATTTCCGTGCTACCTTAAAAATAAAAGTATTGTACTATTCTAGTACCATATTTTAAAGGCACATTCATATCAAATGGGATAATTCGTTTTTATTATTTCTAGATTTGTAACTTTATTCTCATGTTTGACATTTGGACCAACTTTATAACTCAACTTTATTAATTATACTGATTTAGGTTTCTGGTCAGCATTATCAAGTTTTTCCCCAGTTCATCTTGCGCTAATCCAATCTTCAGTTTTCAGGTTTGACTAAACCGCTGCTTCCTGAACGACAATATTTATCCAGCAATTGCCTTTGGATAGATCTCAGTTTTTCCTTTATGTGACCTATTGTGCTCATCTCTTCTGTAGCTACCCTTTCTTTTTGCATTCCGCCATATAAAATGTGTGTCAGGTTTCCAAGTGATGAAATCCATTTAAAAAGAAAATACAAAGTCCATCTTCAAAACAGATTTTTTTTATTTAGGAAAGCATCAAATTGCAAAAGTCCATGGTAATTCCTGATCTGACACAACCCGGAATTACCCCACAATATTACAAGTTAGAAACGACCCCCAAAAGTCACATTCTCCAATAGAAATAATTCAGTGATGCTTGATGTCATAAATCTCCACCTCAAGGGTCCCAAGCAAGGACAGCTCGTATCCCACAAGAAGGAAGATCACCAAACCAAAACACTCTCTTTATCTCCACTTAGGAATGTGGCAAGCCCGAAACCCTTCCCCCGTGACTGCCAATTTTGGGCTTGACAACGTGGGTGATACTGGTAAAATCATGCTAGCTTTACAACAGAATAGGCAATTTAAGTATCGGACCAAGGTAAAAGAAAAGTGATTTGTACAGTAATTAGTAAAACTAATTGATAATGGAAACTGTTGAACCCTTACAAAAACAAACACGAGAGATAATATAAGACAGGCCAACAGCCCATTTGTTGAACCTATTTTTCCTATTGTACCAAGTCTCTCTAACCAGCTCTTTTATTATTTCATTTCATTAATTTTATTACTATTTAGAGTTTTGTCTGTTGCATCTTTTTTTCTCCTATTGCTAAAATATTGCAATTCAACATTCTTTCTGGGCTTTTTTAAAATTAGCAATTTCCTGCTTTCCCAAACTGTGTTTACTTCCTTTTTCTCGGCTTCCTTGCTACTGGCTCCACAGAGAAAATTAGACAGAGACACAACTAAAGCATTATTTTAAACTTATATGAAATAGTTACCAAAAGTAAAAATTATGCATTAAATCACACATTTCAGATGTTTCCTATTATAATCCTAAAACATTAATAATTTAAATATTCTTTTATTTGTTTTTTTAAAGTAATAGCAGAAAAATCAGTTATTTCTTGTTTATCTATTTTCCTTTATTTCCTTTATTTTTTCCTTTATTATTTTTTCTTTGCAGTTATATTTTATTTTTATATTCTTATAGTTTTTTATCTTTCTATTTGTAAACTTTAATAAACATTATAAAAGCTACTAATTCAAAGCTCAACTTACAAAATACTACAATATAAGATGTTATTACCTTTAACATCTGGATCGTCCATATGGGGCTCCAAATTTTCTATCATTTCTTCCAACTCCTTTCTTGTAGCCATTATGTTTGAAGATGCACATGCCATAACCTCCTGTTGTCCTTTCTGATTTGCTAAATCATCCTTTTCTGCATTTTCCTGAAGCTCTAAATCAATATCTATCTTAGGAAGTGGAGTCCTCCAGAAATGGAATGAGTTATACAGTTCTTGCTCCACAAGTGAGTTTTCCTGTGAATGCAATGCAGGCTCTGGTAGCACTGCTAACGTACAATGATCAAAACTGGGTTCATTCTCATCTGAAGGTTCTTTGCATGGTTCCAAAGACAAAGTACTATGTAGCAATGCCTCATCCTGGAAATGAACCAAGTTACTTTCTGCTTTGTCATTTTCAGGGGTGGCTTCAAAATTGCATTCCTCAGTGTCTAAAGACAACTCTGTCTGGCTCTGTACATCATATGTGGATACATCTTCTGAATCCTTATTGTTTTCACTGCTGGATGAAAACAGATGTCAATATTAGCTTATAAGAGCCATGGAGGCACAGTGGTTAGAGTGCAGTACTTCAGGCTACTTCTGGCTGGCTGTAATTTGGCAGTTCAATTCTCACCAGGCTCAAGGTTGACTCAGCCCTCCATCCTTCCAAGGTGGGTAAAATGTGGACCAAAACTGTTGGGGGCAATATGCTGACTCTGTAAACTGCTTAGAGAGGGCTGTTAAGCACCGTAAAGAGGTATATAGGTCTAAGTGCTATTGCTATTGCTATTACACACACACGAATCTAGCTAGAATACAGTTTGTCAAACAGCAACTTGTGGGTAAGAAAGGGGGAAAGGAAATGAAGATTTGTAGGATGCCTGAACAGGAATAAAAACAAAAAGCGTAAAAACCAGACCAAAGTACAAAGAACAGTAGACAAACTGTAGTACACAGGAAACTGATCTCAACTTCTGGCATATTTCCCTCAAAAATTATTCACTCTGATCTATATAACAACACATAAGCTCACTGACTCATTCACAGATGGAAACCTCAAAAACACTGAAGATTTTCTACAATAAACAGAAATTTGGCACAAACAAAGAATCATCTTTCAAAATATTAGGAAAAGAACGCAACATGTTTTATCATTATCTCTCAAAATGTGAGAGTTTCACTTCTAAAGATAGATGAGCAAATATGAAATGTGTGAACATTTTATTTCAACATTGTTTTCATTGAATTTTATTATCCATACCTGTGTTCTTCTATAAAATTCTGACTTTCAGTGTTCTTACATTCTTCTTCTCTAAAAAATTGACCACTGCTGGATGGATTTGCAAATGTTGATATAAAAGGCCCCAGAGATTGAAAGGCAGCTTGGCGAACCTGGAAGAACATATTCCAGAGAAAACTATAGCTATTTTATTGGGCATGATTAGAGAAGTGATAAGTTCGCAAAAGTATGTAGCAGGGAAGTTTTGCATCTGGGAATGTTTAGGCCCCCAAATCAGATATGGCAATATGTTACTTGAACTACCTGAAAAAGTCTTTGATTATATACATTTATTTTGATAAGATTTCTTATGGATCCAATTTTATTTCATGAAGGAAAATAGCAGTTTTAAACCTCTATGCTAATTCTAGTAGTAAAAAAGCAGTAAAAATAAACTACCTAGAAATCCAGTTATTTTAGAGTTTCAAAGGTTTTTACTGTAAAGTGAAAGCATGGATGGTATCAGTAGTAATTGCAGATATTATATATACAGAATTGGGCAGGGATGTTGTGGGCGGAAGAAAAATCGGAAGGAGAAACTTACTGGAATGATTTATAACTTTCCCTCCCAGCTTCCACTGACTTTGCTTGTGGGAAGCTGGGAGGAAAACTTGCAAAATATTGCAAATGGCAATCATGTGGTCACGGTGGTATGGCAAGGTGGTGATGCAGTTCCAATGGTAGAATTTTAATGACCATACATCCCATTTTTTCAGCACTGTCATAAATATGAACAATCACTGAACAAATGGACATAAACTGAGGGTTATCTGTAGTACCTACAGAACTGGAAAATCTCAACCCCGTATTAAATATATTCCCAGCCTTCACAATCATAATCATCTATTGGACAGATATAATCAATGGGTTGCATTCAGATGGGAGATCTGTGGATAGATGTTTCTTTGAATTTGCACCAGGATTCAGTGAAGTTTCCAAGAAGAGGAAAACATTGTGATTTTTTTTTTTCATTTTTCTCCACAACATTTTTTTCAGACACCTTTAATTCTGAGAAAATTTCTCAAATAGCACAGTAGAAATAATCAACGATATATTCTCCAAACCCTCCTCCTAGTCTACATTTTAAACATACCTACTGTCTACAGTGCAAACCACTGGTTCCAAAAGAGTAGAGGACAGAGGATTGAATTGTTTTCTTTATACATGACCCGCTTTCATATTAACTATACTTTCAATCATGTTTTCAGAATAAGTGAATATACCAAGAAATTGAGAATTAAAAAAAATAGAAGGTAAATTTAATAACTGAACTTACCCATCGTGAAGGGTCACTGATAAGATTAATAAAAAGTGTTGACAATTTTGTTCGACGGACTTCCTGTGATGTGGCACATGAAACAGCCATAAAGCATTCGGCACAAGCCTTCCGCACACCCCACACATTATCTGAACAAAGCTGGAAAAATCTAGGTAACTAGAAAATATAAAATATGATATCAAGTACAAATGATTTAATTTGGGTCTTCTTCCACTCCTTGTGGACTTCAAAACATTTAAGAAAAAAAATTCTAATGTAGGGTTTCGGTAAGATTATAAAAATATTGATGGCTTTATTTAGTATTTTTTAACTACAGCCTTTAACAATGGCCAATATTATCTTTGGAAACGTAAAATAGAATAATTCCACCTTTTCGCAAGTAGAATAATCCACATTTATAAAGGATTTTTTTTACAGTGACAAATCAGTGAAAGCAGGGATTATAGGAATGCATTCAAAGACCAGAAAGTACTCAAATAATTCAATAAAATTACATTTAGTACTATTTGCAATATGCCAAAAATGTGCTTGTACCTTAGAGAAATGAAAAAAACCATAACAGGTTTGTTCCAGGTATGATATGCAAATGTAGTATCTTTATTCCTGAAGAAATGATTATCAAAAATTAACTCTATCCTATCCATTTTTATTCAAGCTTCAAGAAAATTATTTAACTGCCCTTATTGAAATTCAGCACAACTTTATGATTAAAAATTAAATAAAAATAGAACTTTGATATATGAAGCTCACCAGCATTTCTTCAGTGGCTTGCTGTCCAACTACACTACAAATATCTCCAAAATTGGCTGCACATACCTGGACAAAAATAAGAATTTTAATTAGAATTTTCAATGAACGAAGCAAGGAAAATAATAGTTTAGGGATTTGAAGATACTTGTAATTGAAGAAAGCATCGTTCAATTGTTTTTAAGTAGTGCTTTTTAATTAACAGCAAGTATTTTATTTGATGAAAAATTAATCATCCACTGCAGTTCTCATCTTGAAAGTTTGCATGTTATATATGGGGTTATGATATGATATGCGTAAAACTAAAGGAACATTTTTCAGATTCTAATATTCTCCATAAATCAGCTGAAGATCAAAGTATATTCCCAAACATGTCTCTCTGTCTCTCTTTCTCTCTCACACACACAGACATTTACCATTTATGAGGTACTCAATGGGATGATCTAAAAGTAATTTTTTTTCACATTCTGCTAACTACCATATTTGGGATAATGTTCCTCACAGATTAAACTGAATAATAGATATTTTGCCTTCAACAAAACTTTTGTAATCATTTGATATTGTTTTGCTTTTGTCAGTAAATCAAGCATCACATGCATAAGAAATCTGTCAAAATTAATTATTTTTATGACCTTTCTTATTTTTCTCAGCTCTCTGAAACAGAAGTGGTATTCAGCAGGTTCTGACCAGTTTTGGAGAACTGGGAGCGGAAATTTTGAGTAGTTTGGAGAACTAGAAAATGCTACCCTCTGACTGGAGATTTTACAATATCCTTGCCCTGCCATGCCCACCAAGCCACGCCCACAGAATCAGTAGTAAAAAAAAATTGAATCCCACTACTGCTCTGAAACTAAAATTCTGGGAATAAATTTCCACAGAATACTAGTCTTCTATGGCGATCTTACCTAGCTTGCTCTTTTTACAAATATCCTCAAATTTTTACAACTCCTCAAATTTCCCATGAGAAATAACATAATTCCTTTTAGCAACACTTATGTTAAATTTGCTTGGCCTACAGATGCATAATATTTTTCTTTATTCAGACTTTTAGGTTAGAATGTAATTGAAATTCTTAACATGAATAGTTTATCTCATCATCATTTTAGCCATTGCCTATCCACTGCAGGATGAAGGCCTCTTCCGCCAGTTTCCAACCTATACGGTCCTGAGCTTTCTTTTGCCAATATTTGCTGATGTCATCAGCTCTTGTGCAGCTCGTGTGTCTTTGTAGCTCTTTTAAGTCCTGTGAGAACATCATCTTAACAACAGCAAATCTTAAGTGATTTAAATAAACACCACTGATTTTTATTCCATCTTTTGTCCAGTCTAGTTTGCAAAATACTTCAAGGTAAGCTGAGAAAAGGATACTGTACATATTTGAATCGCCTTGTCATACACCTCAATGTTGATTTCCACTTTAAGATCATTAAGGCAAACTGGCACCATTGTTTTTTCATATATTGATTATAGTAAATTTCTGTAAGCACTGTCTACACCTTGCATTAATGAATTATTGCTTGCTGGAATACTGAGTCAAAAGCCCTTTTGTAGTCAATGAAAGCCATACACAAGCATGGAATATTTGTTGTGCCTTTCAATTATTTGCTGTACAACCTGGATGTGATCCATTGTGCTGTAACCACTTCTGAATCCTGCCTGCTCTTTTGGCTGTGCATCATTTAATGTTCTTGATATTCTTTTTGCTATTATCCTGGTGAAAACCTTATAGATCAGGAGTATAAAACTCGATTGCATCATGGGCCGCATTGTGATACAGCAGGATGTTTTTTGTCTTTGTGAGCCAGGGTGGATATGGCCTGCGTGGGCTGTATTCGGCCCGCCAATCACCAGCTTGACAGCCTGTGGTAAATGACTGAAAGGCGGCTTATTGGGCGATATTTCTTTAAAACATCTTGAGCCACTTTCTTGGGTATAAGATTCACTTCAGCATTTTTCCATGCATTAGGTAATTTTTCTTCTCTGAGGCATCTCGAGTATCTTGTGTAAATTGTGACTACCAGCTTTCAGCATTTCAACCGTAACAGTTCATCTTATCACAGACTACAAACAGAGAGACATAATGTCTTGCTCTTAGTAAACATTAAAGTGGTTTTTTTAATAAAAAGCAGCATAGATTTATAAAGGAAGAAAGCATACCTTCCGTACATGAAACATTCTACAATCACAGCACATTTCACAAAATCTAGGAAGAATGAGTCTCTCTGTGATGTCCTTTCCAACCATGGAAGCCATTTTGCACATTATCTAAACATAAAGAAAATTTTAGTTATGCATCTAGCAGTCCAACTTCTTTAAATTTATAAACCTATGCCTTTGCATCCCATAAATGTACATGTATGTGTATTTGTCTGCATTCACAGACATTGAAATATTAACAAAAAATTAAATAAAATTATTTTTTTAATATAAAGTTAGTAGAAAACACATACAAATGAGCTGTGATATTGACTAAATGAAGAACTTTTGGTCAGATTAATAGAGCAATTTACTGCATGTCCACAAGCAGCGGTAGATATAAGCAGTTCAGAGAAATATAGATGTGATACTAGATGTCTGATTTTTGATTCCAAGAAGTGTGAGCAAGGTGTCACAATAAATTCCAATCCCCTCATCCTATGTCATCAGAGCCAATAATGGAGATCATGGGAACTGCCTATCACTCTTATAAATACCCAAATCACATGGCTTGGGAAAACACACAGGAAGTTGTACCCATGTAGGCAAAATCCCCACAATTAAAAATTACACTATGCTGTTTTTTTTAAAAATCCAAATAAATGAAGATCAGTTAAAATATAATGGATGTGTCACTAGAAATATCAAGAAAGAAAAATGAGAAAACGAGAAAAATGAAAAGTGAATCTGACTGAATATGAGTATGATGACCTTAGGGCTTATAAAATAGGGAGGAGGGAATATTATGATTAAAATATTATGAATTCTCTTCTCATGTTATCCTTTTTAAGGTGACAAGTTAACTTACCTCCTGTCAGGCTGCTATGACAAATTGGTACAGAACTTTGTTGATCTCCCAGATTCACCAAAATCTGGACCCTTTATGGTTAGTTTGTTATGGTAATTGGGGCAATATTTTGACATGTTATCTGGAACTCCTTCTGGTCTGTGAAACCTGATGAAGTGGACAAGTTCTCTATCATTTGTCCTCAGGCAACTGTTTCTTGTCCCTCCTGACTCCTTTGGAGGCTTGAAGGGAGCATGACATCTGGGAAAAGGTCAATGCCTTGCTTCCAAGGGGCTAGTATCAGCAATCTTGAAAAAGGCTTGAAAGAATTTGCCCATTTCTTAAGAAACCTCCATGAATTTGCAAGTATTTGACAACTATCATTTTGACTCTAGCCTCCCCTCCCTTTCTAAAGAAATTATTGATTACTGATGATTGAAACTTTGGTAAGTGTACAAATATAGTATAACACATTATCCCATCTCTTTTCTGGCACAATTCAGATTTGGGCATAGGATGCTTTTTAAAAACATTTACATGAAACTGCTAGGCAAGGTGGCCTGGAAGCAAACTGCTTTATATGGGGCTGCCTTTGAAAACCACTTGGAAGCTTTTACTTGTCCAATATGCAGTGGCCCAGTGACCTGCAACATAAATATATTAAACCTTTGGCCTTGGGCTCTACATTGGGTCCCTATTCATTTCTGAGTGCAATTCAAAGAACTGTTTTTCATCTTTAAGATCTACATGGCTTGGCATGGTGTACTTAGATATCCCAGGAAAAAATACTTCTAACCCCTCACATTTGTGAAAAAGGACATAAAAGAGAAAGGAGGCTCAGAGAAATGCTTTTCCTATGGAAGTGCTTCTCTCAACATTTGACCTGCCCCTACTTCTCTACGGACTTTGGGAAAATAAGCTGACACCATGAGACTGACTGATTCCTATATGATAATCTAACTTGGATTGCTTTTCTATTTTTTTTTACCATGGATATTTTACTTTATTACTGAAATGCTAGATCCACTGACAGTCTTTTCGATTTTGATGAAGCATAGTATAAATCTAAACAACAAATATTGAAACAAAATGTGTCTTTTTCTGAGACGATAGAGCAGTTTTGGTCCAAGCCAGCTTTTTGCCCCTGAATCAAAAGTGTTGTATGGCTGTATTGTGTAAAACAGCTAAAAAGCACAATATTTATTCTGTCAATGAAAACACCTCTACTGCTGTGATATATATTCAGATAATCAGTCAAACAGTTCCTGGAACATCATCTTCTTACTTACTGCCACTGCCTCTGTCTTCACATCATCATTGCTATCTGGAGCAGTCAGTTCTACAAGAACTGGACATACTTTGGTCTCCACATCATATCGTTCGATAAGTTCTTGTTCCAACAGAACAAGTAATGCTGCTTGACTTGTTTTTCTCACCTATGTAAAAACATAAAAATCAGGAAAAGGAGAATTCCATTTGTCTCAATTTCTGCAAAATTTCCATTGCTAAGCAAGACAGTTAAGTGAGTTTTGTCCCATTTTGCAACCTTTCTTGCCACAGTTGTTGAATCACTGTAGTTGTTAAATTAGTTAAGTGAATCTGGCTTCCCCATTGACTTTGCTTATCAAAAGTTTGCAAGAGTTGAACTCATGATGCTGGGACACTGCAACTGTCATAAATACATGCAGGTTGCCGAGTGTCTGAAGTATTTTTATGTGACGATATGGATGCTGCAATGGTTGTAAGTGTGAAAAATGGTCATCGGTCTTTTTTTTGGCGTTGTCATCACTTCAAACAGTCACTAAACAAATGGCTGTAAGTCAAACTGTATTATAGCTATCTGTACTATATTTATGGTTCTGCAATATATTTCAGAGAAATGAGTCATCTGAGTGACAAAGATTCTAATAATTGGCCTTATTTGTATTACTGCAATGATGAAATATTTGTTAAGCATTACAAAGCATTAATGGGAGATGAATAGTCAAATAATCTTTTCACACAGTTTTACTCTGCTATGGAATCCAAGCAGTTCTGAATTCTTATCTGGAAATAATAATTTTCATGTTTCAAATATGTAGATTTATTCACAAAATTTCTATGGGCCAAACTGCACAAAAAACTGGGCACAACTTTGCTTTCAAAACTCAGAGCACACTAATACCAGAGTATTTTAATCTCTCAGAACATTGTACTAAAATGTTTCAAAGTTGTTTTGGAACAAAAATATTTTACCAATGCAGAAAAGGGAGAAATTGCTGAACTCGACACATCAAACATTTTCAGGCCATCCCAGAAGATCTTAACAAAAGCAAGAGTTTTTTTACACCTCAAACATATAATTAATAATACTTGTAATCTGTCTCACATATAACTGCATAACCATCCTTGATTTCTCCTTTCCCTATTCTTCTAAATCCTATATTTCATGCACCTGATGAAGTGAGTCATGGTTCATGAAAGTTTATGCATTTTAGCAACATTTGTTAGTCTGAAAAGTTGCTTCCATAATCATTCTGAACTTCAGAACAACAAAAAAAGGAAACCTACAAAAGCACTGGCTCACACAATAGTTTCCTATTTAGAAATGAATTTTATAAAGCTATTTTAGCTCCTATGTAAAGATAAAGCCAACATTAATCTTCCAGATCAAGCTACACAAATTATTAGCTAGCTAAGGGTTGCATGGAACAGCAGAGGTCCTATGCTGGCAACGTGTAGGTTATGAGTTTTTGTCTCCTTATTTTCTCCTACACAAAACATTTTGAATAAAAAATCATGTTTCCTCTATGCTACTCACATAAATTTATCCCCTTATGGGTCCCCAGTGTTTCGCCTCTCAGATTTCCTATTCTTTTAGAAGAAAAACTTTGCTCTTTCCTGTATTATCCATGTTTTTCTCTTTCTTTTTAAAATGAAATTCTGGATCATACTCCTTTGTTCTCTGAATAATTTACAAGCAGGTTCAACTTTCCAAAATTTTTCATTTAATCTGGTGGCAGAAATTCAGTAGCATGTACATATTCCATACAAATCTTACATTGTCCACATACACCCAAATATAAAATGTAAATATAAAATATTCAATGTTTTCTTTGCCTGAGTCCTCTCTTTCTGCAGCCCTAGATACAGAAAGGATCAAGTGATATAATTAGAGGGGCACAACTGCAATATTTAACTCTTTGGGAAGATCTGCTTCCCAAATTGTTATGACATATGACAATTGATTAACACACTTATTTTGCTTTTAAAAACCTTAGCAATTCTGGTACTTTGTCAATGAGTTTTGAAAACGTATCCTTAATAAAAGTAGCTTGGGTAGTAGGAATTGTAATTCTAAAACTCCTAGGTCTCACTTTTTTAAAAAGAAGAAAGCAATCTGTAAAAATGTATACAGCATACAAAGAACTGAAAATTCTGGTTGAAACAATGAAATAATGGTGAAAATTAATGAACTGTTGAGTTGTAGATAATATATCAATGAGAAATTTTATTAACTCAGTGGCTAAATCATTTTTCACCTGATTTGTCTTTAAGCAATCCATTACCTAGATTTCAAACTATGAGTTTTTCAGATAAGGCAAGGCAAGATAAGGTAGGGTAAGGACCTATCATGCTTACGCTTCAAAAAACTACAAAAAATATGAACCTAGGTATGATACAAAAGACATCATACAAATTATTTAATTCCAAACAGGTAAAATATTTATATGATTTCAGTAAGTTTAAAGTAATCTTACCTGATTATTCTGGTCTGCTAGATACCTGACCACAATGGGCAATAAATATTTTGAAAAGGCATAAGGGATTGACGGCCTGTTTTCTTGACAAAACATAGCAATATGAGGCACCTGTTCCATTAACTCAGCTCTTACTGTTGGCTCTATCAATAAAAGCATAAAGAAGGAAATTGTATCATTTGTAAATTGCATGTGTATGTTCATTTGAATCTGAATTACTATTACTTACAGTACATTGCTAGTAAAAGAGTTATAATTAGTCTTATTTTACAATTATTGAATATTCTAAAAAAGTATTATTGCCTTGCGCTCCGGAGAACTGCTCTTCCAGTTTCCGGTGCTCCCATGCATGCAAAGACCAGCTGGCCAGTGTGCATGCATACACTGGAACCCGGAAGAGCAGTGGGCAACAGCTGGCATGCCCGGAGAAATGGCTGTGTGTGCCACTTCTGGCATGCATGATCATAGGTTCGCCATTAAAGGTCTAGGATATTTACACTTCCCTTCCCAGTTGAAACTGTGGTTAAGTAGGTCCATGTATTGTGAAATTAAGTTTTCATTGTGTCTTTTGACTTCCAGTTGGTGTTCATGGGCGTACTCTGTAAGTCTGTACAGTCCTTAAATTGTATGTTAGATAACTTCTGTTTCTTTTTTCCCCTTTGGCCAATGAATCTTTTGGTTTACTTAAGATGTTTTGCAGGGCTTTAGTTTGTGTGCTATGGTGATGTTGTGTGGTTGGAATAGTCTGTTGTTGTTTCTGATATGTTTTGGGGGGGTATGTACTGTTAAGTCTTTTCATAACTTGTGTTAGTTCTGCTGTAGTGAGCAGTCAGGGATTTTTTGATAAACTTGCCTGGCCATCTATTTTGTTGGAAGATATTGTACAAACAGTCTGTTTCTTTTTTCTGGTGTTTTAGTGCATTTGTACTCATCTGAATTAAACCCCTTCACAGCTCCTATTGCGGGTGGTTGGGCTGTTACTTTGATAATGGAGCACTTGGTTAATGTGGAATATTTGTCAATAGACTTGGGGTTCTAATTTGTTGATTCCTCTGCTAATGAGGCTATCCAGGAAGAATAGTAAGTTCCTTTTTTATTCCCTTGTGGATATTATTCCTTTGAAGATGTTCATTGTTATATATGTGTATACCTAAGATTGAACATGTCTTCTATAAATACATTAAGATTGAAATACCCAGGATCATGGACCACATCTGTCTCATAACCTAATTGCAGTTTGACGAATAAATATATCAACAAATCTGAGGAACACTCGTGGAATCTCTCTCTCTCCCTCCCTCCCTCCCTCCCTCTCTCTCAGGACTCATAGCAGAGACTATAACACAATATCTAGAAACAATAGCACTCTCACACATGCAACCCAATGGATCTGATATATAAACATTACCTTTGTCATAATAAAAATGAACCACTAGCATATTTTCATAAAACTCTATCACATACAGTGATTTCTTCTTCAAAAGCTCTTTTTTATTAGAAGATATTAGCTATTATTTCTGTAGAAAATCAATCAATTCAGGAACTGAACACTTCATTCCCAAATACATGAACATCCCATATGGATTCCTTCTAATTTAATCTCCATTTTTTTTTTTCATGACAGCTAACAACATTCTGAATTTGATTTTATATGAGCATTTCTATTCTACATTTAACTAGAAAGACTCTTAGAAAAACTTCCATTCCCTGCATGGCTTCCTGGTCAGTTAGAGATAATTCCATCCTTTGTTAAAGTTTTATTACTTTCTGAATTTCCAAGTCCTTTCTCTTATCATACTGTCCTATAAAAATTGTTCACTTTACATACCTGAATCATCTGCTAGCCTGCTGACTCTTTCCAGTACAGCAATACAATCTTTCTCATCATCACTCACTTCTTTCAAAGTATCCAACAAACTTCGAGCCACCATTTGCCTACAGCATGAAAAAAGTACATATTACTACATTGCAACAACTTTATCTATCCTAATTTTTTTTTCAAAAAGCTAAACATTTATAGATTGCCAGTTACTAAATTATCTCAGGGTTCTGCAATCTCACTTTTATCTTATAAAAGGGCATGTAATCCACAAAATAGAAAAAAGATAGATTTTCAAAACTATATAAAGATTAAATTCTCCTCCACTCTCTCTTACACACACACACACACACACACACACACACACTCCTCAATAAAATATTTACTCTATCCTTAGGCTCTATACCATACCTATTAAAAATATTCTCGCTTGCAGCGTACTTGTCCAATCTTCCCAAAGGTGTCAACATTTCATCTTGTGAGACAAAGTCCAGGGCTGAAGATACAATAATCGCATCAGATTCTGAGATGTAGTCATCCACACCAACTATCAGAGACATCAGAAATATTTCTTATCATCATCACATTTTTATGGTTTAAAACAGATGGATACTTGAAGTTTTAAGCAATAATATTTCTTAAAACGTGATCTTTTACAATGTTTTTTCTTTTAAAAGAGATTTTTGGGCAATGATGCAATGACTTTGAAATTTATACTTAATTGCATTTGCTAGAAGAAAAAATATTCTAAGTTATTTCAAATAAAAAGAAATTTCCTTGTATTTCCTTGTAAAATAGAAAAATCCTTGTATTTTAAATATACATAATAATGGAGACAGAAAAAAATCTTTTTATTGGAGGGCGAATTACAAAATTCAGATTAATTTTCCTTCCACGTAATTAGTACATTTCATTCTAAAATCATTTGAGTTTCAAGCAGCAGTAAGATATTCAAGGATATACCAAACAGGAAAATGCAATGGGAAGGAGGGAAGAGAACTAAGTTACAGAGGTAGAGCAAGTCAAAGTCATCACCATATACTGTAAGTTGTAAAGAAAATGACAGTATCAGATAGTTAATTTTTCCTGGAGCCATTAAAAGCCAGAGGCTATAACTAACAAGCTGTACAGTCAGCTGTAAGGTGGCTGTGATGCCTCAGCGAGAGGCGGGGTGATCCTCGCGCAGGAACTTACTCCCTCTTCTGCTGCAAGGTTCCTATCTCTAATAGCCAATAAAATGGCTGCTTCAGCTAGCCAAACTAACCCGAGTCGCTGCAGCGCTACAAATTTAAACTTGCCAACACAAGATGTCAGTTGAAGAATCCAGCGTTTCTACCCAAAGATTTTTTTTGCCACGTCCTTATCGGGCCAGACTGAATCGTGAACTGGGAAAGTGACAGTTTACAGAGGGGCATGGTAAAAGATTAAGGACTCGGTCTCTGGGCAGAAAGGCATGTGTCAACTCATGTGTGGATTCTCCAGTCGACGTACTGGAGAATAACAGTATCAGATAGTTAAGCTAGAAAAATCTATAAAACCAGACTGTCCTTAATTTGAGGCAACGTTTAGTCTAAGGTACTCAAACTAGACAATTAAATTCACCTCCTGCAGAAATTAACACTATCCACAAAATATTTTACTACTATCAACAAAATATTTTGAAGACAAACTGAATCAGGCACATGATTCAGGCTATTTAAATCTATATCCTATGGGCTAAAAATTATCTCTCATAAAAAAGGAAAAATAATCAATGACAAATAATTACAAGTTTACATTTGTAAACCATCCCATTCAATAGTTAGGCTATGCAGATGATTCAACTAGAACCATTGTTTCTTTCTGTGTCAACCTGCACATAGAAAACAGAATTAGTGTACCTTCACAACAAAGACCCAAAGAGGGACTGTGCTTCTAAGCAAAATGCCACACATCAAATAATGAGTTATGAGAGGACTCTGTAAGTATAAATCAGCACTCTTTCTATTCTAGAATCTAGTAATGAAAGGCCTACTATTTCTAATACTGTATACATGCACTGATAGCCTTATCTCCATATAGATGTGCTTTTATATCTCCTTTCTGAAAGCAACAAAAAGAAAGAAATAGTAAGCAAAATAAATGCATGACATGAGAGGAAAAATAAATATATATAAAACTATTTTATGCAAAGGAATAAACAGCTGTGGTTCTCACTTCCACCACAATAATTTATCAATTCATATATTTCTCCATAAGCATTTCCAATCACTTTTGAAGCATAAACAGATGGATGACATCACATCTTTATGAAACCAATTCCACAGATTAAATATATGCTATGTGAACATTATTTCTTCTTGACAATTATGAACATCCCACCATTGAATAACCTCAGTTTCTAAAATTACAGGAGAAAAAATTGTTTATAACTGTATAACTATCATATGCCCACTTAATTATTCTAACATAAAAAATCCAAACACTGCAAGCTTCACTTGCAATGATGAGCCGGAATTCTGAACTACAAGTTAATTAGTAGTGTGCTATTACATGCTACCAGTTGTTACCAATGGACAACAATGTGGGTGTGTTTATGTTTTTGCTGCATTAGATGACCCAGCAACTTTGGCAAAGAATACATCATAGAAATGAGTTTTACACAATTCTGTTATCATTCCAACTGAAGTTTGCCACTATAACCTAAGTTTATAGAATTCTTTCACAATGGTCCCTGTTAGTGTTTGGGGATAAACCCCCAAGCAGAGTATGCAGCAGCAGT